ATCGTCTAATTTACACCGAGGACGACCTTATTCGGTCGTTACTATTACTGCAGGTAATAATTTTTATTAGCTGTCGCGTATTTAGGAAACAATGTGGAAACAATCAGAAAATGAATCGAGCAAGTCAAAGGCGACTTTTCGATTTTTTTTCATCGAGTAATTTTGATAAAAAGCATGTAATGAAAATGAAAAGCGTGTACAGATGAAAGTTTTTCAGCTTGATCATTAAATATTGTCTAATTTTGACTTATCTGATACACAGTCTCCTATTTCCTTTGTTGCACTCGGAAAAGGGACGTCTGCGTAAAGCTGTCGCTTACTGTGTTCCAGCGTTCCGCAGGGTTCTCGTGATCTTGGTATTAGGCTGTGATAGGTTGACACACAGTGCCAGTTGTTTGACTAAACGCCGATTGGTTGATATCAAATCTGGTCTGGTAATGTATGCGGTGATTTATGTAAGCGGGGTTTTCCAGCCAAAACAAATTAAAAACACATGCAATTGTGTACTGTTTTTAGTCGATCGAAAAGTAGAGCGATCGTAATCTTGCGCAAGGGCGCGGAAAATTTAACGAGTACGGGGAAACTATTTCTTTGCAATTGACAGTGCCTGATAAATCACATCATATTTGTAAAGAGTGTCTGAGAAAACTGCAAAAGCGGCGTGGACTTCGCATTGCCTTACGAGAACTCGACGAAGAAATTTCTCATAGCTACAGTTCCAAAGCCTGTAAGGCAGGGCTTTCTACCAAGAAAAGGCCGTACAGGTACATGATTTAATTGCAGAAAAGTCTGTTTCTCCCTCTTCCACGAGCGAAAAGGGAAATAGGAGACGTCTGCACACAGGCAACCACCATGTAGCCATTCACAGAAACACAAATAGTCAACTGCAAGACTTCAAATTTGGATGTACATTACGAACCTAACATTGTAGATTGGCCTACGGCAATGTGTGTATTCCAAGTAAATAGCCAAAAACCCTTGCAAGTTTTTCGTCTTTACAAGAATGAATTGGGCGCTTTCAACCCTATCTTTTACAAAGAGCGCAGCCCATGCTTCAGAATGTCATTTACGTGGTCTAGTCACACCGCCAGTCAGAGTCCAACACCTCCTTAGGCAAAAACATCTTTATTCATTTCTTTTACCGTGCCGACAATTCACCATCTTTCTCCTTTCCAAGAACTCACCCGGAACCTTCTACATTGTTGGTCTTAGCATTTTTCATGACGCATGTCACATACTAGTTTTGACCTTAGTAGCTTACCGTAGAGTCTCTGTGGCTCATTGGTAGGGCATCGGGGCGCAGCATCCAAAAGTTTTTTTTTTCTTTATCCCGCGCTCGTGACAAGACCAAAAATATCCGTATTCACGTCAGACAAGTTTTTTACCTCCTTTGACATAAATTCTCACTCATAAGTACCAGTTTTTCTGTACGTTCGTATGTAGCCCGGGCAAAGTTTTGTGCAGAATCAAAAAAACCCACTCGGATATTCATGCCCAGCTTGGTCTTTCATCTCCATTCTGACCGAAAAGGCATATTTTCTTGTGCCTTAAGGTAAAAAAGGCATAATTTTCTTATAACCTCAAGTGAAGGGGGCCCATTTTATGTTCATGGCTATTTTGATGGAAAAGGAACGAACAAAAGAAACGTCTAGGAGAAAAACTTTGCGAATTTCAGGGACCGTTCACTCGAGAAACCAATCACCAAAATCCCATCATCTCTCTAAGTACCTTTCTAGGCTTACGTCATTGAAAGACTTAACCCTGATAGGATTAAAGAAGCTGGATTATTGGGTTTTCTTTGAGTTGTATGTAGAGATAACATATTTCATTTTCTTGATTCACAACAGGTGAA